CTTCCGATCACTTGCTCAGTGCAGGATAAGCATGTAACACTTCTAGTATTTCTGTGTCATGCCCAGATGTGGGCTTCCTAATTACCTGCTGTTCACTTCACCCGTTGCCATCCAATTCCAAATACTTCCTTGCATTGCAGTTTCCACATTTACCTTTCCGCCACACCACCTCTATTTTCTATATATCTGCTCGTACCAAGCAGTAAATTTTTGGTAGTCTGTTGCCAAATCATCTTTTCCCGATACTCCAATTCCTACCCGGTTTCTAAGACCACATTTGTCTCTTCTGTTCTGATATGACAAGAAATGTATGTTTTGTGATTGAAGTCAGCAACCATAAAGTTGTTGGATTCAAAAAAGTAAACAGCAGAGTTGTCAGGCAGGAGCTCACTCCTCTCTCAGCTGTGACTACCTGAGGCCACATGCAAAAGCTTCCCTCCTACTTTCAGTAGGATCCTTGCAAACAACGTAGGGGGTGAGGGTTATTATATTTTTCTTATCTTTTAGTAAGGCTGTGTTGCACTCTCCTTTCTCTCCTCCAAACCTGTCTGCCTCAGAAGTTCCAGCTGCGAAACCCAATTTCATTTATGCAGTGTCTTGAAAGAGAGTCAGGCTGGACATGACCATGGCCATTCCATCTTCAGGCAACAAAGACCCAGAAATACAGTACTTCCTTCTTTCTGCTGCGCCTCAAATTATCCTTAAACCTATTCTCGTTTGTGGGGTTTATTTGTTCATTATTTTGACTACAAGCTTCTCTAGAAGCAGTGTTTCTCATTCCAAAAGCACGATGAAATTAGTGGTATATGAGCCTGTCCTGGTTTCGGCTGGGATAGAGTTAATTTTCTTCCCAGTAGCTGGTATAGTGCTGTGTTTTGGATTTAGCAGTAGAATAAAGTTGGTAACACACCGATGGTTTAATTGTTGCTAAGTAGTGCTTACACTAGTCAAGGACTTTTCAGCTTCCCATGCTCTGCTAGGTGCACCAGGGGCTGGGAGGGGGCACAGTCAAGACAGCTGACCCAAACTGGCCAAAGGAATATTCCATACCATATGACGTTACGCTCAGTATATAAACTAGGGCGAGTTGGCCGGGGACAGCGATCACTGCTCAGGGACTGGCTGGGCATTGGTTGGCGGGTGATGGCAGTTGCATCACTTGTTTTTCCTGGGTTTTGTTCCTCTCTTTCTCTCTTGTTGTCTTCCTCTTCATTACAATTTGTTGTTATTGTTGTTGTTGTTATAATTATTACTTTATTTCAAGTATTAAACTGTTCTTATCTCAACCCACAAGTTTTCTTATTTCTGCCCCTCCGATTCCCTCCCCCTTCCCACCAGGGTGGGGAAGGTGAGCGAGCAGCTATGTGGTGCTTAGTTGCCAACTGGGGTTAAACCATGACACAGCCCATGGTTCTGGCAGATGTTGGTTGGCAAAGGTAAAGATACAATCTGCACAGAGTACAGCTGTTCACAGCACAAAAAAAGCAACTGACTGAACATCTTAGCCCACCTTGAGTTAGATGGCACACTTCCCACAACTGCCACTTGGTAGTTAGCAAAGAGAGTTGATACTGAGGGAAGCTTATCAAGCACAGTTCATAGTTTTTTTCTTTTCACCACTTCTTTGTTTGCTGGAACATAAGATGCAAGTTTACCTAAGAACGAGTTTTGTACTGTTTGATAAGCTTTTCTTCCAAGTGCTTTGCCCATAATGGAGAAAAGTGTTTAGATACGCACTGCCGAAGGTCGTAAGATATCCCAAACAGACTATTAAGTTAACACTTAATTCTGTTTTAATACAAAACACAACTAATTCTATCTAGAATAAATCATGCTGCTTACCAATTGTTGCTCCACAGGGGGTGGTATATCTTGGTTGGCATAGACAATGGCAGGATTATAAAGGCTGAATACCACAGGATAAAAAACTTTTTTCCCTGGAAGCCAAAAGGTAATCGTTACTCACTGTGGGCATCCTTTCTGAAGGCAAGAAGAAACTAGAAAAATTCTCTTTATGTGAAATATTAGCTATTAGCCATCTACTGAAAACAAATAAATATAAGGTCTAACTGCTAGGATTTCCCATTTAGGTAGCCCATAATATCTAGTGAGGCAGAGCCCAAAGGATTAAAAAAAAAAAAATGTACACATATTTACATATACTCTATAGGTATACACCGATATATAGTTATACATATAAAATATTATATATCACAATATCACATTAGATGACAGTGAAAAATCCCTGCAATAATGGTATGCAGTAAGGCTAAAAAATAACCAAGTCCAAGTAATAACACCTCGCACAGCTTGAGTTTTATGAGCGTGCCTCTTTCCACAAGCATTTAAAAGTGTGTACATCCATGACGTCCTGCAAGGGCATTAAGCATCATGAGTATCCTGATTATGCTGTGACACCAGTCCTATGCCTATTACAAAAGCCAGATAAATATTTTTCAAGGATCTCTTGCATTGCCAGTGGTGCAAAGGTATCGACAACAGCCCACGAGAATACTTGGTACCCTGACTTGGGCATGAATTCTGAATGTGTGAGAAGCACCTTCAGATCTCACTTGAAGCAAAGGTGACAAACTGTCAGTATGAATTGTCAAGCAGTCTCTCAAACTCCCTTCCTTGTGAAAGCTCACAAGACGTTCCTCTCCAAAGTTTTTCCAATTATTTATACAACTTGTTTCATAAAGTGCAGAGTCAGAGAGAAATGAAAGAAAAAGCAAGAAATAGAATCCAAATATCTGGCTTATAGCAGACTTTCTTGCCTGTTTATTATGTGAAGAAAAAGTATCTATTCATTCCAAATTGACATTTGGAGAAAATGGTTTCTGGCTGCAACAAATCTGGAATAAGAGTAAGCATTAAAACAACCCAACAAAACAAATGTTTGACAGGAGAAGGTCTTAACTAGCTTGTTAACTCAAGAAAGCTTTATACTTCTTGGCAGAACCTTGTAGAACAAGCAAGCTTCATACAAACTTGAGAAAAACGGTCAGAAAATTTCAGAGCTTGGAATGTAAATGTGGAACATTAGCTCAGTCTCTGTAAGGAGCACATTGTGTAGCTCTACAGAAAACCATTCGTATGTGATATGTCTTGGTCATACAAGCGTGAGAAGACATAAACCAAACTTGTTAAGAGATTTCAGTATAACAAAAACCACTGTAAGAGCTGCACTGAGTTTTGTTATACAAATTTACATGCAGTCTAATCGTTAAAGCACTTAAATTGTCCAGCTTTTTTTTAGACAGTCAAATCTTAAGAAAATGTGAAAACTATGCTTATTGTACAAAAAAGACGTGTTCTTAAAACAAAGCTACACTAAGGCAAAAGTTACTTCTCAGTCTAAATACTACTGTCTTTTGTGCACAGTATTTTCCATTTTCCTAGGTGCATGGCATTGAATAAGCTCCACCATTCAAGTTAGTTTTTTATATGCTCAACACAGGTCAGTTTAAGCCAAACAAGATGACAAGACTCAGTTACAGCAACTGTAAAGGAACATACCAGGCTCAGCATTTAAGCGACAACTGTTGAGGAACTCAGCTGTGAAATAAACATCAACATCACAGAAGAACATCAGGACCTCGCCCTTTTCCCAGGCTCTGGCACCCATGTCAAGTCCCCGGCCTCGGTTAAATTCCTCATTCAGAGAGACAAGCGTGTAATTGTGGAAGTTAGTTTCTCTAGAAGAAAAACAGAGCCAAACCCAAAATAAATCTGTGTGGGGGGCGGAAGGGACCATTTATACTTTTTCAGCATTTTACAGTAATTTCATTCCGGAAATTTTAAAAAAAAACAGTTATATCATCAGGATGGGAAAAAATATTTGTTCCACTTATTTGTCTATTTTAAGTGTCAGAGTTTAGATGTTGTAAAAAGATGGACCTCCGTCTTACTTCATAACTTCACTTTGCATTTAATCACTCAGAGAGATTTAAAATGCCTTTTGGCAACTGATGTGAATTAAAGTGTTCTCTTAAATTACAACGCCATCTAAAATTTGTCCCCATAAACTAAGAAGTCCTGACTAATAGAGCAATCTCTGTCTTCACTACGTCAGGGAGGAGGGCAAATGGGAAGACAGAGTCCCGGCACCACCAAACTCATGAGGCAAAAGGCCATCTGTCTGGTGATGCCACCAAAACCCAGTCAGTTTGCGTCTCCTCGCTATTTCATACCAGCAACACACATGCCCCTACTCATCGCAGAAGAGGGAAGGAGCAGCACAGGGAGATTGGAAATACACCCAGGGAATATCTTCAAGCAAAGTTAAGTGTCTACTTCGGAGACGCTTCAGAGGTCAATGCTTGCAGAGAACAGAGTGAAGATGCTCAACAGTAGCATCTGAGAAGATAAGGAACCAGATACATGCCCAGTGAGTTCACAGCACTGAACCTGACTCGATGCTGTTAGGGGAAGAGGACATCTCACAGGGAGCACGGCAGGCAGCTGAGAGGCCTCAGAAACAGAGGCGGCTGGCACTCGGCAAGCTAGATGCCAGGGAGGCTCTGTGGGAGGAAGGCAGAAGCACTCCTCCCTTCCTAGAAGATGTCTGTGCATGCCAGGCCAATTCACCGTCACATTTTCAGCCAGCGACTCATCAAGCAGAGCCTTGGCCTGCGTCGTGAGAGCCTCACGACGTGCTCATTCTCGGCTAACAAGGGTAACAGGCTCCCAGCTCAGGGGCGAGCACAAGAGCTCAGGCAGAGAAGGAGCCTCTTAAGCTACAGGCTTATGGACACCATTACCTGTCCCATCCCTTGGGAGCAAAAAAAAGCAACATTTGGGAATTTTAAATCCATATGCTGTAATGCTATTTGCTGAGACAGCCACGATAAAACAGTGTTTGAAGTTGTTTTATAGCAGAGGGTAAGTATGGGCCCAATTACCTAGTACCTAGAGGATAGAGGGCAAAGTTTAACTTCTCACACTCAGCAGCCCACCAGCCTGCTTTGACTACATTTCTCTTCCTTATCATTAAATAAAATTGATTCTCCAGTGAAAGAACTATCGAAACGTACATCTCAGTTCCAAAGAACTTTAATTCTGATCAATCTGTTAAGCATGACTGAATATTCACTGCAAAACACACTCCTGTTGTTTTTTGGGTTATCAGCTAGAAACTTCAAAGCCGCTGCTGTTAGTCTTTTTTTGCCTATAACTTGATTTTTTAGTAGTCTTCAGGAGACTTCTGCAACTTAGGCTGTAAAATGCCAACCAAAAAATAGTGTACTGTAAATAAAGCTTACTTCTCCTATTAACCTGTAATCGACTATAAAATAATTCTTTTTATTATTTCAGCCTTTTAAAAAACCATTTTAAATGCCAATCAATATAGTTTGTATTGACTGACATTGGATCGACACACTTACCTAGCTACGGATTCTAGGATGCTTTTTACTTCTGACAGCCCATCTTGTCCAAAATACACCACTGTGAGGTGAACACGCTTATCCTGATGAATACACACATCCCTATAAGCAGAAAGATAAGCTGATATTAATAATTACAGAAGCTTCAAGTACTTAAAAGCAATTGCATTTAAAAGTATTAGCAGATTGAAGTATTCTGGTCAGGCTTCAACTAGCTTCTAAAGAAAACAAGGAAAGATGTTTTCCCTCTTCTTTCCCCATCTTTCCCATTTGAATCAGAAGGTTCCAATACTGTGTGTCTCATTCCAACACCTTATTTTATAAACAGGAGCTCAAAGACTGTTTTAAATACAGAAATGATGCTCAAGATCATCCATGTCCAGGTTCCCAGTGGCCCTGGCATTCGGTCTAAAAGGGGTTTTGGTGCAATATGAGAATCTCTTAAATCCTTTTAGGAGGAGTATTTTCTCCATACAATAGGTTCAATTACAAACATCCCAAGGCAGTTGCACACAATGTTGGAATCATTAGTTCTGTCGCAAATCCACCAGAACAGAAATTTATTTTGAAAACGAAACAAAATACTGAAAATCAGCAATATAGCTCACTATATAATCTCATGCACCTACCTAAAGTTTTGCATAAACTGTGCAAATGCCTCAGTTCTTCCAGCAAGAGGGACAATAATGTTAATCATTGATCTAGAAATATCGACTGTTTCACTCTTCACTTTCATGAGGGGTCCAAAAGGTCGGAACAAGGTGACATGCCTGTACTCCATGCCATCCATCTTCTTATAAAACAGCTCATACTGTGTCCCCTTATCTCTTTCTGTACGATAGTAACCTGAAGAATAAGTCACACAAGTAATTTGTAAAGTCAAAGATCCCAGCAATTGTATTTCAGAAACACTGTTTTTCCTGAGAACTATAAAGAAGTGAAAAATAAAGCTGTTGGGGGAAAGCTTCTGGGGTTTTCCTAAAAACAAACAAAAAAATCTACAAACCACCAGTTATCACAATCACCCTCCTACCTTCTTAGACCAGATCTGAAAAAACAATCTCCAACAACCCCCAGCTTCCCCTGCTTCTTAGATAGGTTTTATGGTCCTACATCAACTTCTCGGGCGGAATTAGAGTTGGGTCTTCCCAACAAAAAGGGCATTCAACTATTCGCTATGCAAAAGGATGGCTGAAATCTAATATTGCCTGTTCTTAAGCCCTTCAGTAAGGATCTTCCCCTGACCTAGTCCACGGTAAAAGCTGAGATCATCTGGCCAGCAATCAACACAACACAAGCTGTGGGCAGAATAAATGACATAACTTGCTTGACAAAGCCTGTGAAATCTGAAATGTGATATCTAAAAAAAAAAATCCATGCGATAAATGCTGGAATGCTTTAAAACTGTTTTCACTGCTGACCACTAGCTAAGTGCTTTCTATGCCATAAGTAAGGATAGTGGCATTTTATTGTAGCTATGGTCCTCTAAGGACGTAAGAGCTGTAAAACAATACCAGTTCTCTATAAACAGGGTTACCTATTTAGAGACATTTCACTCCTAATGAGTAGGGAAATCTACCCCATTCAGAACAAACATTTAGGTTAGCTGATCGCTTTCATTTAAGGACCATCAAGGAAGTGACTCAAGCCAAAACCCTCTCTAATTTTACACCACAAAAGAAAAGACCAAAACTCATCTGTGGCTTTGAACTGAGCTCTGTGCTGGCAATCCTGTATCCACACTAAGCTGAGAGTATGAAAAGATGACAGGAAAAATCCTCCAACAGAATTGCCCTATGTTCATCCCATCTCAGCTCTCCTCTCTCCCCCACAAGGAAAAAGTATATTGTAGAGAAGAAACATAAGCTACCTACGAACCAAACAACTTTCAGTTGAGCTGGCCACACAGACCATGAGAAAGTCATGAATAGCTGCGTATCCCCAAGCGTGATGAACACACCTGCCTTTACACCAGGCAACCAGTGGATTTCCATTCACCTGGCAGGCCTGAGCCGCCTCTTCTCCTGCAAGCCAGCCCCCAGAGCAGCTGAAATCCTCTCCCCACCTCCCACCCAGAAAGAAGGTGGCAGGGCACCGGGTAGATCAACTGTGCTGGTGACACAAAGGGCTGTCTTTTGTGCTTGGTATTGATACTATCCTTTTTGCTGTTACTGTCTTTTTTGCAACTGAAATCAAGAGGGTTCAAGGTATGTGAAGGGAGTAGCCCTCAAACTTAGAGCAGCTTGGTTTTGTTTGTCTGTCTTAGGAACTAGAAAGAAGTGATCTTACAGCTTTGCTTCTCTCCCTATCCCCAGGCCAATATTCCTCCATGCTCCCTTCCTCCCATTACCTTCGCAATCAATACAAGCAGCAGAGGAATGCGTACACCACCTCACCTCAACCCTTTTCCTCTATTCCGCAGGCTCCCTTACAAAGAGTCCTTTCCCTAAATCTACCTAACTCCCTCCAAGTTCCTCTGCTCCAGCCTCCCTCCCCAAAGCAAATCCAGTTTCATTCACTGATGTTCCCTCCTTCTGCCCCTGTCCTGTATCTGCCCAAGAGCCCTCTCTTACAGCAAGCTCCCTACTCCTCTCCCATATGCAGCTGTAACGCACTCCTCCTCGCAGCCGAGCGCATGCACTGGCAGACCCGATGGGGAACATGGATGACCACCACACAGGGTCTGTGGGAGACAGGGTGTAGTAGAACAAGCTGGTGCCATCACACTGGAAGTTAATGGTGACTGAATCTAACCGCTCAACTTAAACGCCTTTTACCCTTTCAACCGTTTTGCAATGCACTCCTTTAAGAGATAGAAATCCACATTTATTCCTTTGTGAACACAGAGCTGCACAAAATATGCACCACATTTTAATGCTCAGGAAAAGCATGACAGTTTCAAATCAGTATTAATTACAAGTACTGAAAAGGGTGTTTCAAACAATAAAAGTCCACAGTGTTGACTGTTAGAAGCAGAAAAAGATCTTAAATCCCTCTCAATCCTTTTCCACTCCAGCCCTTTGTGCTGTGTAGTCCAGCGCTGTAGCTTGAAACCAGCTTCTTGGTTTCTGGAGCAGCTGATGCATGCTCTCTTCGCACACCACGCTCTCATGCAATATGCAGCAAATACTTTGTACCAGTACTCCTGCATAAATTAACATTTGGTATTGTGTATTATATTCCTTCCTCTGGTATCCAATAGCCATTTACAGATGAAAATACCATTTACAATGTAAGTGAAGTTTTTAAAAAGCATGTCACAGTTGCCAATAGCTTATCTTTAATCAAAGGATAAGCTTAGATGTCAGTCTACAACAGAAGGCTGTAGTACAGAATAAAAATTTCTACATTAAAGTAACTTTAAAACAAACACTGCTGTAACTTCATAAAGACCTTAATATGCAAGTCTGAATTTGAGTAGTGCCTTGTCAACATTCAATTGCTGGAATGTGAGATTCCACATTTTTGAATCTCAACATCCCACCAGCGCCACACTTCTTTTAAATAGTAAGTATGTGCTCCTCGAGTTATTCTCCTTGCTATAAGCTAATCTCCAAAGGTAATCTACTAATTTGAATACTTTTATGGGATTAAAGCTTCTATGCACAGAAGCCAGAATTGAGAACAGCCAGAAAAAGAACCCACATCTGTTTTACTTCTTAGTGTATTCAGGTTTTTAACACTTGGGACTGACTCATACAATAAAACCTGCTATCTCACCTTCCAACTAGCATACGCTGGCTGCCATCCAAAATAGAGCTCTGTAAGCAAAGAGGTAAAAAGCAGCAGAAATAATTTAACAGCTGTTATTCCTCATCCATGAAGCTTTACTCCCTTTGCAGAAGTTCTGTTTCTCATCAAACAAATTAAATCTTAGGAATACTGGGGATCAATTACTATCAAAGCCAAAAAGCTGTTCTTCTACTGCACTGAATACTATTACTTTTTACAGCTACCAAGAAACCTACCAAGAAAGTGTTTGGTCTATGGAATTTAAGACATATGTCCTATTTTTTTGTGTGTATTAAAAATTCTCCGTTGAAGTTCCCAGGACACTGGCAAGTTTCTGGTCTTACGCAGGACACACTAAAGGGGGTGTTTGCATGACAAACAGCCCACACTGTTCTGTGGATGGCAAGGACTCTGGAAGAGTTTTGACTTTGAACTTGCAGCATCGAGATAAACAGTTTTTACATGCCAAGGACATATTTTGGTGGGGAGTCTTTCCTTGAGATTCAGACCTAAAGATAGTTTCTGGACTTTGCCCAGTTCCAACTGGAAACACAGAAGCAAGAGAAGTGCACCCAAACAGCAGCACTCGAATTCTGGTAGACATTCAATAACAAGACCTTTATGAGAGATTAACTAATTGCTAATTAGCTTCTGAAAACATGCTAATGCTTCTGTTTTCCAAAGGTTAATTTTAAATGTCTATTCAATGGGAAAGCTTTTAATCTCTTGATAAAATAAACCCGTTACACTGATAAATGTAACCCAAATAAACCAGTTACACAGATACCCACGAAGGCTCCTCACTGAGTTTTGCATCAATATGCAAACGTCACAGGCTTCTGAAGGAAGGGGATGGGCAGAGGTAATATTATTATGCTCTTCCCATCTTACCCTCTGTTTCTCAGTATTATCAAACACTGATCTCAAAGAAATCTATTTTTAACCCAGGACTATCTTAGAATGCCCAATTCAGCAATTAGGTTCATTGTAGCCCTAGACCCTTCATTTGTGAAAATATGTAGTATTGCAACTTTTATTCTCTCTAGGGATACTCTTCACCCAAGGGGAATAGTGTACTCCTGTTTCTCATACACTTAGATATAATGGAAATATTAAGGAAAAAAAACTTCAAAGTGTTTCTCAAACAGCAACTGCAGAAAAGACTTTTTTTAAGGTCAGGTTTTTGTTCTGTTAATATTAGAATTCTGGAAGTTTCATTCTGGGTTGCAGCAAAGCAAAAGAAAGTTACAATGCAGCAAATGGAGCCCTGCAGAACTGAGAAACTTGCTGGTTTTCCCTTCATCAGCACAGCAAGTCAATTCAGCCTTGTGAAAAACAATTTGAAGCTTTCAGAAAGTATCTTTATAGTTGCAATGCATACTTGCAAATCTTTTTTCACTTGGTGTTATTGCTCAAAACCTGGCAATAGCCATGATGTAGTTGTGGCTAAAAAAAAAAGGATCAGTTTGGATAACACTTGAACAGGTTGCTCCCTATTGTGGATACAGCTTCCTCGCACCACTGGCAGAAGGCAGAATATCTTCATGTAGAGACCACAGAGGCTGAGCACACAGCAAAAAAGCTGCATGAACAGTTAAATGAAAGGCACAGCAAAAAAACAGAGCAGCAACAAGAAAGTTACCATCCATCAGCACATATTTTGAAGTTTTTTGGCCCACGCAGTATCAGAGTAATAAAAATCAATTGATTCAGACTACCATGTATTATTGAGTAATTAAGCGTACTTTTTCTGAAAAGTTTTAGGAAATGTCTATTTATAAACTAGAAAAGGCAGATTAAATTGATGTCATTAGTCTGTTGTCACAAGTTACTCCAATATAGGTAAATCCTAAAATACACTAAAAAAAAATTCTTGATGCTTTTACAAATCAAGATAGTGATATTCTACTGAGTGGGCAAAGACAATGTAAATGCTGGGGAAGAACTTCAGACATCCAGTGGTGATGAAGAGATACCATTAGGTAAAATTGTCTGTAAGATAAAAGATTCTAAACTTATTTAAACAGCCACCAAATTCTCTAAGGATTTACTAATACAACTTAAAGTACATACCACAAAAGATTACATAGCTCAAGGTTTAATCTAGTATCTCACAAGTCTAGGAAAAAAGCTGAAATTATTCCCAGAACCAAACATTTACCTACATGAAAAGTTAGCCTACTGAGGTAGTTAGCTAGAACACTTTTACAATAAAAATGCCTGTTTCTAGTTTAGCTTATAATTGTGGCAGTTTTGTGGATAAGTTTTTGTAGATAGATATGCATTAGTTTTGAGAAAAAATTCCTGCAAGTCAGAACAAAAGCAAAATCACTTTATCTATGTTAAGCATAAAACATGATGGCTATGTATTAACTAATGCAGTATCAGTTTTCTCTTTTGCCGCCCCCCCGAAAGTAATCCACACACCAAGTTTCTCAGACTCTTGTTTCAAATTGCATAAAACTCTAGTCTTAGTCCTAAATCACTTATTACAAAATAATCTTTAGCAATTGAAGAGAATACAGAACTTAAGTGACAAACTATTTGTTTTAACTCAAGCCAACTTTAGCAAACTGTTTCTGTAAATGAGCAATGCTAATCCAGCAACAGTTCAGTCGTGCTCTTAGGACATTTACAGGAACTGTTGTGACTTCAGTAGATACACCAAGTCCGCTATGAAACTTGAACCCACCAGTTTATGATAGCTTAAGGGAGCAGTATTTTTTAAATGGAAAGACATCAACTTTCCAACTGCACTTCCATCAAAGGAGGACGCACCAGCGGACAACCGGGGCAGCGCGCTAGAGCCCAGTCACAGGGCTGCAGGGCGAAGGACCTCCAGGTACCACTACTGGCTGGTTCCATTTCTCACCTCTAAGTTTTGGAACAATAGAAGGAAAAAAAAAAAAGGTGTTAATATTCAGAAGCAGCTTTTTTTGCTGGCCCAATGTCTAAATTAGCCAGTAGTATTCTCACATACACATAAACAGAGAATACCCACAGAACCCACAACTTCTGTCTGAAACAAGACACTGATATACATCACTATGGCTCATTGCTAACACACCCATATGAGCCACAGCATAAAAATACTTTAAGTGCTGCATATTTTTTCTACAGTTCCTATAACCTATGCTTGGAGAAAATGCCTTTACAACCAAAGAAAACTAGTTCAACTTCCAAAACCAATTATCAATATACCGGTGTGGCAGTATATTGAGGCAAAGGTATAAGTACAGTTCTAAGATCCTACATCTCCCTTGCTTTCTTGGAGGTCTGCAGTCATTAAAGGCAGTACGCTACGAAAAACGAACAACTATTTCAGCACTGGTAAAAAAATAAAAATCCAGTAGAGCATAAGCAGTATATAAAACAGTAAAGGAAAAGCAGCTGCACACTTAATATAAAAAGAAAACAATTAAAAGACTGCAAGAATGACTACTTCCAGACAAAATAATAGTACCGTTTTCACTGAAAACCAGAAGAGCCTAACACTGCACTGGCTGTGTTATACTGAGACAGCTGAGTGGATTCTACGCCCTGCCCCACCTTCTGGAATGAAGAAGAGTACTTGCATTAAACTTTAAACACAGTAGCTGTTAAAAGCAGAGACTTTTTGCGCTACAGACCAATTACATCATCTCAGACTGAAAGAACTGATTATTTCAAGGCCAACAGTACCTTTCTCCAGCATGTGTTTGCTTAACAGTGCAGACATCAGTACTGCTGAGATCCAGAATCCCTTTTACAGTAATGCTCTTATAACATGGTCCAACTTTTGGTTTTTTTATGGCAGCATGAACTGTATTTAATACTGTAAATACAAAAAAGAGGTACTAGGGCAGTTTTTGATAATATTGGTCTCCATCAGCATTACACTGTACCTTGAAAGCCAACTTCTATAGGAATTATCACTAACGCATCTTTTAAGGGCGTTACTACATGCTGAAAGCATAACTGCCTTTTTTTTTTTAAATAATAATGTGTTCTGTAATTAAATTTACAAGCCCTGAAAAAGAATTGAGTAAAGAACAAGAGAACAGTTCAAGGTTGCACAGCTTAGCAAATCCCGTAACTAGTATACCATGAAGGGTCTATTCAGGACACCAAGTTCTCCAGCTGCCATGACCAGAACACGTTAGCCTACCAACACCCTCCCTCCAACGAGTATGCCAGCTCTACGAGAGTCAAAGCCTGAACAGTAACTAAAAGTGGCACAGAGATGAGTGAAGAAGAAAACCCTGTAGCTTTATACTGAATAGCTTAACTATGCTGGAACAAGAGAGATGAATCAATTTCTCCCTCCCACTGCCACCAGTTTCACTGGAAGTCTTTCAGTTATTTAGTACCATAAGCAGTTGTGTCACACTGACTTCAGCTAAAATCAATTATGAATGCCTCAGTATTTCACGCGGTTACAACTTCCCCTGTACACTTCTTGTGGTGAGCCCTTCTTCTGAAATGGATCTCTTGCTCCCTACGCAAAACACAACATAATGAAGCAGTAATATTCTCATCATTAGAAATAAAGGTTCTGACTGTGTAATTACCGTTCAAGACTATATTCAGGTAGGTAAAACCCCTAAAAATACAAACACCATTAAATGCCTGTTGTGACATTGTGTTAACTGGCTGGAAAGCACGTAACAAACATACCTTCTATGAAATCATTTTCATTATACAGCTGCCTCTCTCCTACTCCATCATCTTCATCTTGTCCATCTTCTTCATCTGGATTATTGATAACTTCTAGGCCAGCCTCAATAACTTCCACCAATTCGTCTCGTTTATCCTTTCTAACAGGTTTCTCTTCTGGATGCCGAGTGAGTCCCATCTCCAACTGGAATACTTTCATGGACGTAAAGCTTTCAAAAGGAATGACGCCATATTCACTAGGCAGTTTGGCCCCCACGCTCACCTCAGCTTTGTCAATCTGGGAATGAAGAAACTCCAGGAGATCATTGGATGCTTGTTCTTTGGTGCCCTGGTAGTTCATACCATTGACCTTGGGGCTCTTTTTTTCCTGTAGGGATTTCAATTTATCACTCATTTCCTGAAGCTCTTGCTTTAACTGGGCAATCTGACGTTTCAGACTGGTAGCTCGGTTTTGATAATGCTCTTCTTGTTCCTGCAAGAGAGCTTGATAGTATTCTTTACCCATATTTTCGCCTACGACACCAGGTAGAGATCCATTACCATCTGTTTGTGGAGCACACTCGAGCAAATATATGAGCAAGACTAAACTGAATAATAAAGCAAGGCCCACTAATAGCCAACGAGTCCTGGCTTGAATTACTAAGCCTCTTCTGGGCATTCTCATATTATTTCCGTTTCTAATCCAAAAAGATGACTTATCTGCTCATGCCTTGCAGGGAACATCACCCCAGAGTTCAAATCTTAGAAAGAGAAAGCATGACCGTAATAGTTACTACAAGTTTTGATAAACCAGCTGATGAGCAGTTTTCAACCTTTGCACTAATCAGGTGTCATTGCAGAGACATAAATCTGAAGTTCCTATGTCATCCATAACCATCAACTGAAAGTTTGGTTGACGCCATACAATTTGTTCAGGATTTCCTACCCCAAACAAAAAACCCTGCAGAGGGGGAGGAAGATGGAAGACACCAGTAAGGAGTCATACTTCCATTTCCTAATTCAACCCTAGTTGAAGGGTTTTAGCCTATTTGAAGTTCAGTGAGGAAAGTCTGCAAAAGTCATTTTATAAGCTTTGAATCGACAACAATTTTTTTCCCCCCTCAATATGGGTAAGTGAGAGCAGTCTACAGTTTAGTACAGTAATTTTCATTGGCTAATCTGGATTTTCCTCTGGCACTTGAGTATTTTATTCCACTTCCCCCTCCTTTCCTTGGAATCTGCGGTTTGAGTCAGCAAAATGAAGACAGAACCTAAAATTAAAAGAAAGGTGCATATTAGAACTACAAAGCAGCCAGTCATTTGGAAAACACATGGACGCAAAGGACCACTGGGGGAAGGGGTGGGAAAAGGATAAAGGGAAAACATTATTTCTTTCCATTGCATTACCCATCAGTGATTCCCTTTGACATAGTGTCTGGAAAATAGCAATATGGACAGCCTAATGAAATAAATTTTTCACATAACTAGCTAAAGCAGTAAGGGTTCTTCTAGTCTCATCAAGTTTTATTTGCTTTAACCCCCCATTCCTTCTTGGTTTTTTTGTTTTGTTTTCCTCTGTGGAAGGAAAAACACACCAACAAAACCCATGCCCTTCCTATTCCTCTAAACTAAAAAAAAAAATCCAAGAACTATTTTGAAGCAGCAGCGGCTTGCATTTCCATTTGCTTTTACTGTAGGCAAATATCTTTTAGGGAATAATTATTCACTCATGAATAAAATATTGCAGATTTAAGTGTCAAAGTTCACAGAAACAGCATTTCAGAATAGGTGAAATTCAACAGAAATTCAAATTCAAACCCCAATTCCTGATTGATGAAAGGGAGCCTCAGACTATCCATTCACTAACATTTCCACCTTTTGATTTGGGTAGGCTAGTGTGAAGAGGTGTTGACCGTTTGCATGGGTCACCCTCTTACACCGCTGACCAAACCAGCTTGGAGGAAAAGACCAGGGAAAAAGACCACAGTTAGGCAAGAGGGGGATACCAAAAATCCTACTCAGCAACAATAGTCAGCAAAACTGTTTATGGGTCTCTTCAATGACAGCAATAAAGAGCTAAGAAGTAAGCTCAATGCATGTTAGTCTACTTTCTAACATAATAAAATATTTTCGTTTAAAACTTGATTGTAGAAAATAGGTGAAGCTCATTCAAATTTCTCCAGGGATCTACTAGCTCCATGTCCATTTCGACTGTGTTGTGTAATTATTGTTTGGGGGAAGTTCTGGGACTTGAGTAATTTCAGTTTAGTTTCAGTATGCTTATGAGATTAGAAAAAAATTGCCCACTCCAATACTCCTTATATATGGACTGGATAGATTGTTATCTAGCACCGCCAGCAGCCACAAACCCCGTCTTCCTCTGTCCTAGCAAGTAAGTCACCGTGCCACCATGCACCCCATGTGTCTACAACAAACACCTTGCAATGTTTCTCCCCAGTTATGTCCTTGTAACATTTCTGCCTTCCCATTCAGCTTCCAGCACCGGGATATTGCTTTAGTGAGAACCAGGTACCACGTACCAGCGGTATCATGATATTCAGCACCCTTATTTGCAAGAAAGCTCCAATAACAAGGCCTGAAAGATTAAGTAATTTATTCATACCACCAACACCAGTGACTGCGATAGCTGATCCATCTAAGTTTGCATGCATGTCACGCACACTAAGTTTTCAAGAGCTGCACACCTTGGAGTTGAAGTCTACAGGACCGCTTGAAGCAGTTTTAGTATTTCTAGTGCTAAAGTCCCTGCCTATGACCCTGTTCACGAATAAATTAGAGCTATTATGTAGAAATTCTTAATACAGCAGCTTAAAGGCAATAGTTATCTGAAACTGAAGCTTTTTGAGCTCATGTAAAGCTACTCGACACTTTGGTACAAAATAAGTAACAGTTTTATCAACTGAATTCTGGATTACATCCTTTTAAGTCCAAATAAGACAGAAGTTAGTCACTCCTCACTGCACAAACACAACATTATATAAATGCAAGTTAAACGCCTATAAAGAGTGATCAACACCAGATGTATCCTCAGACTATTGACCAGGGTCCAGATGTGGTGAATCAAGGGAGACAGAAGAAAAAACAACCTACAGGATAAAACCAGTTCACAGAAATGATGTAATATCATCCCAAGCTTTCTTTAGTACAAAGTTGCCTATATGATGTTTTTTCACATTTCTTCCTGAATTCTTGTTCTGTTAGACCACAAGAGGTGAAGCCACGATTAATAACATAAAGAACCATATGTTCCTTTAAACCTAGACGAATGCTAGACTGTACTAAAGCCACCCCATGCAGAAGCTGGCACATCTTAGATCAGTCAAGGCATATTGAAAAGTGACCAAACTACCTGACTTGCATAAAACACTGACAAATCCAGTCCCAACTATTTTTCACTGCACAGCCTTATTACTGCTGTCAAGAACAGCAGCGTTTTTGCATCGCTGTATACACGAACACAGCTACCGTACCACTACAGAAATCAGCTTTTCAAGTTACAAAGAAATGCTTTTGGTACTGGGGACAGGGTAGGAAACAAGGCTGAGTCTTACAGCTCAGCAGGACACGAAGAGAGCTTTGTGGTTTTACTTTCCTTTTCTCCTCACTTTTACAGGATAATTAAAGAAATGAAAGCATATACTAGAAAGCAGGAGCTAATATTTCTAGTTAAGACTGTCTTAAGGGATTGTTTGGGCTACCATGGTACAGTTTGATAACGGGCAGTGCAGACAGCTGCAAACCAGAGCCAGATTTGGTTCATCACTGAACCTCTAACTTAAAGCCACCTAAGTCACACAACCTCCTACCACCATGGGCTTTGAACAATCAGTAACTGTTGTTAAGCGATCAATAGACACCCCTGAAGCTGGGACATTAGCCTTTATTCAATTCTTGCCCTACCAATAAATTGCCCTGTGTTCAACTTTGATGAGTCACTAAGTTTCTTTAGGTCTCATTCACGTCTTAGAAGCAAGTGACAACAGATTTCCTGATGTGGTGTCAAGAGGACACAATGTACCGGGAGATTAAGATTCCCTCAGACAATAGCAGGGGCCAATGAAAGAACAACTCTGTTCTTAATAACTTTCTTAACTGTGGCCAAATGTACATCATTATGGTGAGCATGGATTAAGAAAGTCAGCACGCCTCCGCAGGGACCCGCCGCTTGCATTGCATCACCAATGCCAGAACAAAAGGTTATGAGTAACTGCAGATTTCTGAGCCTTCCTACTGGCACTTTACCTGTTTGCACCGGAGGGCTGTTTTGGGGGGCACTGCCTGGCGGGGTGCTTAGGGAAGAGAAACAATAAGCCGATTCTGAAGCAATGGAAACTACACGTGGTGGGCTGTAGAGAGCTCGCCGGTTCTTTTCCTTCTAGGCTCTAATTACTCCCTCATTAGTTGAAACCCTTTTCTAGTGAGCTAGTGACAATCTTATTAACAAGACAGCCTTTTTGCACAGAGATAGGCCTTGCCTATTTATCTTTGACAGTTTTCCTGCGACACCATAAAGAACAGGCATTTTTCCCACTACAGCTTCCCTGTGGCCTTTAAAGGCAAGGAATGTTTGTGCAACTAGTTATGTTAAACAACGTTAAAATTTTAAATTGCACACGGAGAGCTGAAGGGTAAGTTAGTTTGCTAAAGCAGTGGGGACTGAGCCAATTTGGACACCTCTCCCCCCTTCTCCCCCCCCCCAGTATTGCTTCTGCTGAGAAGAGTCATCATAAAGGAGTCAGACACAGATTTCATCCTGCATCCTTCAAGGAGTGAGTGAAGCCAGGAAGAATCTTAATTCTCATGCCATCAGAAAAGGAGGGTTTACCAGCCCTCTATTTCACTATCCTCTCTTTTCAGAAAAGCACTACTTTTGCATACATACAACCCAAATTTGATATGAATTAGGTCTGGCGCAGCACTACTTTAGGAATTCCAGTAACTACTCCCAGGCTGTAGCAGATGATTACAAGAGAAAGCAGGCTGTGAAACCCCAGAATTAGCAAAAGCACACAGGATCCCAAGAATCACAATAGGAAAACTGATTCAGTATCACATGTTACATTCTGAAGTTTATAAAAAAGAACAATAAGATTACCTGGAAATAAGTAATCACGCAGAAGTCCCTGTGATCAGCATTTCAGTGATTAAAGATTAAGTTCCAACTCTTTAAATTGCACATGCTGATATTTCACTATTTCAACTCCTCAAAACAAGTCTATTTGCAATACTCCCCATGATCTCCAAAGAACGAGACATCTGAGGCTTATACAATGCTTATAAAGATTTGCAAGTTTTCCAGAAGCAACTGGTTGTTATTCTTTCTGCATTTCCAGGGCCTTATGTATATTCAACTATGGAAATGTTTCTGTTCCTTACAAAAGAGCTCATTGATTCTCTAAGCACAAGGGAATAGACCAGCATGCTAATTGAAAATGCTTTTAAATTTGTTTTTATTATATTAGCATTCTGTTTTGGTTCCTTGTTACAAGGGATGAGTACGTCTTTCTAAAGAGGGGAAACATTCACACTTAAAGCAGTGACCTAATTCAGTATGCACTTACTTCATGCCAGACTGTACGGACATTCCTCATTTTAGCATGTTCTACTTTAGACATGTCCTTTTTGTTCAGCATGCCCTAGATGGTCATAGTTTAGCTGTTTATG